CACCACCGCCACCACCGCCACTGCATTGCGTGCTGCCACCGCAAGCAACGCCCCTGCGACGTCAACCAGCACATCCCAATTAAGCCCACCACATCTCCTGCATGAACTACACTCGTAAGACATACCATCAGGCCTCCAGACCTGGACACTGCGTATGATCGAAAGACACAACACATTGCAAAGAAATTGAGAGGCACTGTGATCCCTCCTTGCCCCCTCTGCACACTAAGGTTCTCTCCCAGCATAAGAATTATCATGGCACGGGTTCTGAGTTCCCTGATGCCAACTTGCACGAGAAGTCCCACAGCACAAGACACATTCAATATTGGGGTGGTCAATGACCAGAACATAGTGTTTGAAATGGTCATCACTATAGGGACCAGCCAGGCGTCGGTTGAGATTCTCAAACCACCACTTGAAGCGCGTTCTCTGCTCCTCCGGCAACTTGCTTTTGTCTTCCCTGGCACAAGCGGAGAAAGCAGAAATTGCTACTCAAATGACATTCCGCCTCCTCGCAATTTTGACAATGCTGAAGGTCCTTACACGCAGGGCTTAGATACGTTTGGTCTGCTATTCCCCTGCTCCAGACACTCACCGCCAAGCCGTCAAACTCCAATACCTCGCAAACTTAAACGCTAAACCACCCCAGAGTTTTGTCGCTCCGTTTTTTTGGGTAGCGCACACAACGTTGTACACTTTGTTGCTTCATCAGTTATAAGACCGGAGGGGTGTTGCTGCTGGGAACAATGATGAGAACATCTGTATTGTTTACAGCTACTCCGCTGCCACTCCCACTGCCGCTGCCGCTGCTGCGACTGCTGCTTCTGTACTGACTACGACTGCTACTGCTGCCGCTGCTGCTTACTGCGGCAGCGACAAAGGAATGGGCAGATTTGACGGCAACCTCAGCATGCAAAGAGCAGGGGCAGTGCTTGTGGTGGCCTGGGCATATCAAAAATTGGGACTAGGTTCAAAGTTATCTTGCTCAGCTTTCTAGTACACTGTGAGCCTTAAAGCAAACGCCAACCCTTGACCCTCAATAACCCCCTCAACCTTAAACCCTAAGCAACCCCGAACCCAAACCCTAAACACCACTCAACAATCCAAAGCCCTAGCTCTAGGAACCCCTAGCCCTAAGCAACCCCAAACCCCAAGCCATAAAAAAACCCAAACCATCCCAAACCCAAACCTGTACAAACAATTAAAACGCCCCAAGCTCCCAAAGCAAAATCTAAACCTCAGACCCTAAACGGACCCAATCCCCCCCCAACCCCCGTAGAAGTGACACAGCCCCAGCGCGTGCTGCTGCTGCTGCTGCTGCTGCTGCTGCTCCTCCTCCTCCTCCCACAACAATAACTCCTCCTACCCCTACTCCTCCTACTACTACTCCTCCTCCTGCTCCTACTCCTACTACTCCTCGT